GTGTCTTTTCTTGGCAACCAGGGGGACAAAAATCACTCTAACTGAGATGTGTCAAAACAATTGCTTCTTGTATTTTTCCTAAGCGTACATAGGGTTAGGGTTGACTGTTGTCATAGCTGCTCAGACCTCACACGGTTGTAAAGAAAAGAAAAACACAGAACATATGCATCAAAAGTATAAAAGTAGGTCATTATTGAAATTAAAAGTGTGTGTTCTCACTTTCAAAACAAAATATTTAAAAGTTAATTTTGCTAAGTTTGTCTTAAATATTAATCTAAAAAAAAGAAAAAAGAAAAGAATTTAAAATATTTAAAACTTTAGCTTAACAACTGAGCTTTAAAAAAAAGCTATAAGCTACAATGCTAATGATGTTAATAGCAGGAAGGCTTTATTGATATTTTCAGTCATAGCGTGCTAAATATAGCAAATACATTTCAGGACAATTCAGGTGTTGCAGTTACAAACAGCAACTGCAGAAATGGGTAAATAGAAAAAGAAAGATTTATTTTAAAAACCTGCAATTTAAAGAATAAGCTAACTCTGTCCAAAACTGAAGGCAACAACATTGTTGCTTATTTTTTCGACATTTTGCCTCTTCGTACATGAATGCACTTTATAATGCACTTTCAGATGGCAATAAATGTTTTATATGGCTGACTTAACGTCTTGTATTCCTATCCCTTTTGTCTTCTTTTCCTAAGATTCATAGATTTTAGAGTTATAAACAGCTTTTTGTTTATCTTTTGTTCATGCCAAATTGACATTGTAAGTAAACTGTGTGTAAAATAAATTGTAATTGCGTGTCAGTACTCCTTCTTACAAGCCCACGGCCCGTACTCTTCACAGTCAGCGGCGAACAGACTCGCGCCTCCCCTCAGGTCTGCGCAGTCCCTGTGATCAGCATCCCACTCCACCATCACCCTTTGAAACACACAGTGGGAGTGAAAACTCAGTGTTTAAAGCAAGCAGTACATGACAATAAACCTCATTAAAAATATAAACTGTAAATATGTTACATAAAAAAACATATGTACAGTCACATATGGTCACGTTACATACAGTCAAGTTGATGTCATTTTGTGTGTGTTTGCCTTTGGGTATGTGGGTCATGTATACGTGTATATTGTTTGTTATAATATTGTAATAAAGATTAACTTAACCTTAAACGTTTCTGTCTGTGTTTTCATTTTTTAATTGTGTTCTATTTGTATTTGCCTATTAGATAAAGAGATCATTTTTCATTTAATAAAAACGTTTTAGTGGCTAAAACAAGCAGCATCCTACTAATATTTATTATATTCCAAGAGACATTTCTGCAGTTATTGACACTGTACTGTACAGTTTGTTTGTTTCTTTTTACAAAAATAAATGTGCACAGTGTACCTCAGGAACAGCCTTCTCATCAGTGCATTCACACTACCACGGTCATCGGGAGGGCCGACAGCGCACAGCCCACCGACATTTTCTACTCCCGCCTCTAGAGGACTCTGCAGTCAGACTAAAAGCCTCGAGCAGCTTCTAACCCACAGGCAATCAGCCCCTGCTGCCTGTTACTCCCTCAGTGCAAATAACTATGACTGTTTTGCATTTGCAGTCGCTGCAGCAGGCAAAGTGTTCTGCAACTCCAGTTTTTAATAGGAAGCCTTGTTATTTGATATATTATTTTTTTTTAAATATATTTTACTCCTTGCACTTTTATTTCTAATTCTTCCAAAATGAGTTCCTTAATTATACCGTATTATTTTATTATTTTTATTTTGTTGTTGTGATATGACTTACTGCATGTAGTGCTGGACTGCCCTCCCATCGCCCCACAGCCACTGACCCTCCTGCTTGGCATCTGTCAGTCCCACCCACAGGAAAGGAATCTGGGAGAACTTCGTCATCACTCCTTGGATGAAATCCTGTGGTGGAAGCAACATTTAGAGCAGGGACGTCATCACCGACCACACACAGACCACTTTGAACTTAAGTGAGCCAGAGCAGTGACACGCCCCTTTCTGTAAGGTAGAGAAGATTAATCACACATTGAATCCCTCAGTCAACTTCTTATGAAAAAGTCTTTTTTTCAACAGCATGTCTGAGTTTTTCTACACAATAAAGAAATGCTTCTATTTGAAATTTGTCAGCACGACTGTTTAAGACTAAATTGTAAGTAATAAATGTGTAAATTTAAAGAAAAAATAAACTGTCCCAGACTGTCCTGTAATAATAAAAAGTGTATTTGCTTTTTTCTTTTTTTTCTTTCTTTTTTTTAACTGCGCGGACCTGCTGTAAAACATAGAAATTTCTGTTGTAGATAGCACAACATTTTAAACTTTTTGTCATTTAAATGTTCATTTATTTCTTAATTAACTTTAGTGTAGTATGAATGACTTCTGGGGATTTTATCAGTAGAAAATGCTGTGAAAACTGTAAAAAAAAAAAAATGTATAAAATGTATAATATCTATGCCTTTCTTGACGTTTTCCAAAGCCATCCAATGGGCTTGAGTCTTTGGCGTGCTGATTCTGGCCCCCAGGCTGTATGTTTGACAACCCTGATTAATTTTCTGCCAGAAATTTTATCATTTTATTTATGTTTGTTACTATGAATAAAACAAGTGCCGGTACAGAAAGCTGACATCCACCCAGGTTGGGCCATTACTGGTTTAGCACCGGTTCTGCATTGGTTACTTAAAGAAAGCCCACATTTCATCAGTGGTCCATAGCACAAGCTGGGGTGACTTAAAGTCAAGGTGGGCAGAAGCTGCGGGATACATCTTAGAATTGTGGGAATCCTTAGCAAAGTTCCAACTTTTAGTTTAGCAATTTGTTTGTTTTGTTGTTGTTGTTTTTTTTTTTGGGGGGGGGGGGGGGGGTCGGTTTAAACTTCTTTTTATGCTAACTGAGACTCTAAAGGCATCAGTTAGCGTGTTAAATGTAAATATTTATGACATACAATTAGAAAAAGATGGAACAAGCGTGGCTTGTTTGGAAGGGATTGCTTCTGAACAAAGTGCACGTGGAGGAGGGGTAATGATTTGGGCTTGTTTCGCAGCCAAGTGACCTGGGGTCCCTGCAGTCACTGGGTCAACCATGAACTCCCACCAAAGTATTCAAAAGTCAAATTTGAGGCCACCTGTGTGACAATAAAACTAAATTGGGTCATGCAACAGGACACAGGCACAGCAGCAAATCTACAACAGAACACTGAAAAAGGAAAGAATCAAGGTGTTGCAATGACCCGGTCATAGCCCAACCTGATTTATAAGCTATGTATAAAAAAAGGCTTGCAAGTCTCAATGAACTGAAGCGACGCTGTGAAGTAGAGTGGGCCAAACGTCCTCAGCAGCTTAAAGTGAATCTGATACGTACAACTTCAGAACTGTAAGTGTGTGTGCTTCACATGACTCGTGCATGGTGCGTTTACCATCTCTGCAGAGTCTTCGATTACAACCAGGCTGCTGTTGTGCTGCCGGCAGAACTCGGCGCTCTCATTCCATTGGCGATTTTCCTGCAGTCCAACTGAGAAGAAGTAGCAACGTCCCATCCACCACAGCCACTTTTCAGGGCACAAACTGCACCTTGAGTCTCCACATAAGAGGAAGAAACACTGATTTAAGTGTCAGATAAAACCCTGTGTGAAGCATATCACAAATGTAACCAGAAACACGCAGCGAATGCAGTGCTGTGGCAGATCACCTGTGTTCACTGTGTTTGAGATCATGTAAATCACCTTGAGTGACAGCGTGAAGCATCAGGTTCACGTCACGCTGCTGTTTCTGGCACTGCTGCAGTTGCTCCAGCAGTTCCTGCCTTGTTGTCTGACTTGCTTCTGGTGCTGCTGTCAATATGACTGACAAATATAAATATAAAGATAAGAGCTGAGCACTGAAGGTCCACTACAGGCAGCAACAAAAAATAAATAAAACATCATGTCTTCCAGATGCTTCCAGACGCTATAGCTCCGTGTGTTACCTTTTTTGCATTTATATTGAAAGCTAAAGAGCAGATTAGGATTACTTTTGCTGTTTTAAGCTACTTTAAATGCTGAGAAAGACAAATGCAATCATACTATAACCAATTTTCTTATAATAAATTAATATAACTGCATTTTTAATATTTCCTTTTCACATTTGGAGGAAATTTGAAGGGATGAACATGGAGGTGGAAACCGCAGGTTTGGAGAGACAAACACAAACAGCAGAAAATAGTAGATTAAGTATGTTATATATTATGTTCTGCCAGGTTATACCCTCTGGGGGGGGGGTTCTCAAGTACCCCAAAGTTCCATCATAGCACCCCTAAAAATAACCATAGTAATCATAGTAATAATAATGTGTCTTAGTCTTATTTTCTGAGGTTGTCTTCAAATTTTGTATTTTGCCGTCTTGTGTACTGGAGACTCTTTACCTGAAATATAGCAAAACTGCAAATGCTTCTTACAATGGGGGGGGGGGCACTGCTGTGCCTTATAAAGTGTCTACTTGTGTATGTTTGATTATTTAGGCTAAATGTCTGGAAATTATCAGCTAATTTTATATTTTAAAGCCATCAGCCTGCTGCCACAGCTGCCAGCCAAGGAGGTGGTTTACTTTATTATTTTAAGTGTTTTTTATATATATTTTTTTTAAAATGACAATATTAATTATTATTATTATATAATTATATTATTCTATTCATTTCTAGTTATATGCAATGTGTTTGCTTGTGGTTGTCAGAACGAAGAAGGAATACTTGCTGAAAAAATAAAAAAGTTAAATTAAATGCTTTTAGATATTTTTTTATGGAAGCGATGTGTGCTTTATAGTAACACACTCAAAAAATGTAAGTACACACAGCGTACTGATTTCCTCTTTTTTTGTATGTTTGTCACACTTAAAGGTTTCAGATCATCAAACACGTTTAAATATTAGACGAAGTTAACACACGTAAACAGTTTTTCACACATGGACATGTAGTCCCGGACACTCCCCCTCCCTTAATCATAAACACCTTCATTTCGAAACTTTGTTGCATTTTGAGTTTACTTGTGTTATCTTTTTCTAATATTTGGTGATCTGAAGCATTATAGTGTGGCAAACATTTGAAAAAAGAGGAAATCAGGGAGGGGGCGAACAGTTTTTCACACCACTTTGTTCGAAATAGAACGTGTTGATATGAATTTTATACAGTTCTCTGGATCTATTTCTCCACTGGGGTACATGATGATGATTTGTGCTGAGTCTGCACAATAAAAGGAGGATTTGTACGAACTCTGTATGTATGAACTACTTTCAGTTTGCTTGTTGTCCAGGTACATGGAGCAGCAGGGTGATTCTCCAGCATCTTTAATGATCATTTCAAGGCGCTGTATGCACGACCTTATGAGCAAAGGTTTGATCCTGGAATCTCCCCAAGTGTTTACAGATGAAATACTTCATGCATGCATCATTTCTATGCACGCATATTTAGACTCACCAAATAAAATGAAGGACAATAGGAGTCCTACGATCAGGGTTAATGCTGCTATAGCAATAGCCACTCCAACTGTTAGATGACAAAACTGACAGGATCCTGCACCTGTAATGATAAAAGCTCAATGAACTGGTTCTTCTTTAGCCTACCTGAGCACTCAAAGCGCTTTATACAACTCACCTCATTCACCCATTCACACAGACACTTTTATCTATGCTCTTTCTATGTAAGTGCTTTCGATCCAACAGTGGATGAATTACAGAGCAGCTCGGGGTTAGTATTTAAGGTCATTAGGTGGAAAATAATGATATATTAAAAATACGCCCAAGAGATAATATTAAACCAAATCAGCAATCTGATAAGGAACACACTGACCAGCACAACAACACCAAAAGACCTCAAAAACCACAGAAGATAGATAAACAGCTTGTGATCTAAAGCATACCATATTATCTCTCAGACATGGTGGAGGTAGTATTATGGTAGTATGGCTGTAGGACTGGCTCACTGGTGTTTATTGATGATGTGACTGCTGATAGAAGCAGCAGGGCTCTACTCTCTGCTCAGATTCAGCCAAACCTGATCAGACGGTGCTCCACAGGGCAAATGGATCAAAGCATGTAGTGCAAAAGCAACCCAAAAACTTCTCAAGGCAAAAAATGTGACATTCTTCAATGAGCTATTTGTCACGATCAACAGAGCGTGCTTTACAGTGACTTGTTACTAAAGACAAAACTAAATGCAGCTGCAGTAAAGGCCTGGTGGGCACCTCAAGGGAGGAAACACAGTGTTGGGTGGTGTTGATGGGCTTTAAACTTCAGGCAGTCAGTGACTGTAATAGATTTTTTCACCCAAATACTAAAAACAATCCATAATTGTAAAATTATGTTAGTCTGTCCAGTGAATTTGGAGCCACTCTAAAGGAGGGACTGCGTATAAAAATGTTGGATCTTCTTAAAAATGAAAACAGTTTCTAAACCCCTTCAATTAAAGCTGAAAGTCTACACTTCAGGTACGTGTTGTTTGATTTAAAATCCCCAGAGGAAAAAACTAGAAAAACGTCTCTTTGTCCAAAATATTGTGGGCCCGTCAGCCGATGAACGCATTGGGAGCGTGGAGGCAAAAATACAGCAAGGAAAAAACTGAAATCCTGTTTCAATCACAAACAGGAGGTCATTTCACTTTCTAGACCACAGGAAGTGGTCATGTTAGTTTAAAGAACTTAAATCATGAAAGGATGCAACATAAATGTGCCTCTGATCACACCGAGGCCCATCTCCTTTGCAGAAACAAAGAAACATATCATTTTTATTTTCAATATTAACTCATCAGACGTGTCCTGTTTTAAAGCCTTTCCTTTAATTGCTTTTTTTAAAACGAACCTGCAAGTGTTTCCCTCCTAGCTTCATCGTCTCCGTGTCCTTGTGAAGACTCCATTGCTGCTGCTCGATTGTGGCTTTGCTTCAGCAGTTTCGAAAGCTTTTTTGGCTCACATTTTCTTCTCTCTGATGCTTCTTTTTTTCACATTTACATGCTTATTTTTTTTTTTAAAAAATGTGATCACTCCACCCCTTCCTCATATTGCAGTTTGCTTTCTTCCTCTGGAGTGTTAAAGTTATTACCGACACACTGCAGAGGAAGCTGTGCAGAGAATAACAGCTTACACGCAGCGTGACTTAAGTGCTTTTTAACAGGGACCAGCTCACACCCTGGAAGTGTTATAGATGTTACATATGCAGGCGCAGAAGCACCGCAGACATTAAGCTTTGTGTTTGGTTTTATGCCATTACTTGACCTCATAAAACTGCAGTATGTTCGAGGGCATCAGGTCCTCACCGTTGACGTATTTATTGTTCAAAAACTGAACAACGAGAGTTGTTTTTTGGAAAAAGGGGAAGTGTCTGCATGCATGTAGAATTAAGAGAACAAGTATACACAGACTGAGTTTTTTTTCTTTTTTTACTGTTGATGTTGATAAAATCTTAACAGCTGGATAATCATCAGCAATTATGTGTAATTTATGATCCGTTTGGAAATGTAATAAAGTCCAAACTAACAAGTGCAGGAGCGGATATGATTCATGTTAGTCGACTTGGTATCATGGAAGATGCTTTAAGGTGTGACGTCAACCTTACACAAATATCTGTGTTTCAGTGACATGCAGTGACAGAATCCAGACCACAATTAGATTATAGTGTGTTTATTTAAAACATCCTCAATGTACAAAGTTCAGGTCGAGAAGAAAAAAATAGAAGGTGATGTGAAAAAAAGAAAAAATAAAATGCTGATTTTAATAATGATTGGTCATCTACTTTATTCCTATTGCCTATTAAAAATGAAAAAATAAAAATTAATCAATAAATGAATATATCTGCAGGTATAGTAATCACATATCACAATTCCGATCAGAAAAGTCGCTGTACATTTTACTGAAGCACAACCTTGAAGTTTTTAAGACTAAATCGCAGTGGCTTATCCTTGTTTCCTGTATTTCTCAAGACGCCACTCAATGTGCCCTTCCAACAGCGTACTGAATTTCTTCTCTAGCTGTAGCAAAACACACAAACAGAAACAACACAATTAAAACAACACACAATTAAAAACACAAAGCTGAGACCTTTCACCGAAGCCACAGCTCAGCACACTTGGCTAATCAAAATGCTGCTTATGTCCAAGTGGTGACAGATTCACCTCCTTAAATACTTCCTCCCTTGTTGAGTTCTTATCACACAGGAGAGACTCGGACGAGGAGCACAGCATCGACAGGCTGATTTCCTCTAGGTCTGGATCTGGGAAACGAACAGAGACTGTGAGATGTGCAAACAGGAAAGAAAAAGGCATGCTTCCATTCATGGGTAAAATTTGCATATGGTGGAATAAATACAGCTATGGACAGGAAAATAAAAATCCTGGACTAGCTGGTCCGATATGTTTTCGCAGCCGTCACCTTTTGCTCGTATAGCATCTTGTTTTTTCTTTCTCTCAGTCTGCCAAGCGAGTTTTCTATCAGTCATATAAAAGCTTACACTCACTGTAAATGGTAAACGGACTGGTTGCTATATAGTGCTTTTCTACACTTTCTGAGCGCTCAAAGTGGCTTACACAACTTGCCTCATTCACCCAGCAGGTGAGCAGAGGCTGTAAGCATTTCTCTGCTCTTTGTGAAATTTTGGGTCGCTGAAGGTGATTAAAATTGTTTTCATGATACGCTATTAGGTTAGATCTAAGACATAAATATCTTAACTTAAACCAGAAACGACTAAAGTGCATGTGGCAGCAGTGGCTCAGGAGGTAGAGCGGGTCATCTGTTGGTCTCTGGTTTGATTCCTGGGGTGTCAAAGCGTAGTTTTTCCAACTTACTAGAGTCCAATCCATCTATCATCAATCATGTTAGGTTAAAAAATTGGGACCGCCTGGTGTTCAAATTGAGTAAAAAAAAAAAGAGATCTAAATAAGTACCTTTACATTTATTACCTCCTTTTTTAATCACTTATTTACTATTTACTTTATTTTGCAAAAATTGACCAGAGGGCTTAATTTGCTGATTTTCAAATTGCCAGTCTCCATGAACTGTTTATCCAGTTTTGATAAGTGGCCTGGTATGAAATGCAATCATCAAATTTCAAATCAGATAATATTAACTCTATCTGTCCTCTACTTCGAGTCTGGATTTCACCTTTTGAAAAAAAAGTCAAGTAAAAAGCAAAGCTACATAAAACACAATCATGTTTTTCCTTTCGGTTCCTTTCTGTGGCTCAGAACTTCTTTTTGAGGTGGAAAAATCCAGCCAGGCTAGACAGCTACTCGCTTACAATTCATGGGGAAAGCGCACCTGTCTAAATCTAATGGAGAAAGTGGCCAAGTAACTTTTTCAAAAGCCATAACTGAGTTCAGCTCCTCAAAAATTTAACATCAAATAAGAAATAGCTTATTTTATCTTGGAAGCAGAAAACTTCTGAACCAGAAGTCTCTCATACTCAGCGACAGATCTGTGACTGAGACTTAGGGACTATCCCACAGACACTGATTTTTGAAAACTGAGTCTGGCATTTTCTTATTTAAACTTAATGAACGATGTAAATATGTTGTCCTATTCCTTGCTTTTGATTATCTTTTGTTGTCTTCTTACACTTGTTGCCTTTTAAATGGGACCTAAGTGCAGTTTTCACCTCATGTGAATACTGGTGTTGGAACAATAATAAAAGAAGTTCAAACCTGACCCAGCCCATAATCATGCGTGAAGTACAGAAAGAAAGTCAGCAGTTTTCTTGTCACTATTTTCTGTACTGCGCAAGCTAATGAGAATCAAAATCCATGATGAAGTCAAGGAGTATGACTCCTCTTATTTCACTAAAATCTGAGCAAGCACTCGGCGATGGTGGCAAGGAAAAACTCCTTTTTAACAGAACCAGGCTCATTTTAGGCAGAGCTTTTTTTTAATCTTGATGGGTTTTTTTGGAAAAGTTTGCAAATCACTGATTAAAGTTTCTTCTCTTCAGTTTCCCATAATAAGGATTATTTCTACAGTGGCCCTGAAGGGTCAAACACACTGCAACTTGTGAAAACACCAGCATACAGGAAAAAAACTGCAAAAGCACACAAAACAAAATGAAACTTTCAATGAAAGTTGAATAAAACACAAGGGAAACAGAATAAAACACCACGAAAGCTCAAAAAGTGCAAGTGACGAGATAACTCCTACCAAGTGTCACCTATCATGTTGTTAACAGTTTTTCTTCCAAGCCAAAATTCTTACCTGTGAAACGTGCACAGGGTGCTGAGGCACTTTTCTCTCCGTCAGCGATTGCGTACACACTGAAATTATAGTTGGTCCCTGATGTCAGGCCAGAAAATGTAAACGTGGTTGTATCAGTTGTATTACTCCAACTGTGACCCCAGAAGTTGGAGTTGAGGTTAACACCATACGTGGGTGATGATGTGTTTGCAGGTGCGTCCCAGGCAAAGGTGATGCTGTCCTTACTGACACTTTTGGCTCTGGGATTAGTAGGAGGATTTGGCACTAAAATCAAAGAAGATGGAGAAAATTAGAAAGCCATTTCTCATTACTATTTTGCAGTCAAGTCAGCCTGACATAAGAGTAATGAAGTAATGTTTTTTGTGCTTTTATAAATCAGACTTGTATGAAATAGATCGTTTCTGCCACTGAAGATTTTTTTTTTATTACATTGACATCAGAATTTTAACTTAGCTCTGCGTGGAAATCTTTTTTCTCAGTGGCGTAACAATCATTTAACAGATTTGCTTTTTTAGAATAAGAATTGAGATATTTCTGCTTGTAAACATTGGTGGTGGCAACCAAACAACTCTGACCACAGAAGATGACAAAAGTGACTCACGGGTGAACATGGTGGCGGACACCCCCTTGCTGGTAAATTGTCCACTCACTGCATAGACGGTCACAGAGTAATTGGCAGCATTCTTCAGATCTTTGAATGTGATATCTGTTGCTTCACTTGTTTTGCTTTCACAAGCATGGTTGAGACACAGCTCGACTGTGAAATTTAAAGCGCTACCAACAGGAGGCAGCCAGGTAGCGGTGAGGGCATCATTAGTTGTAGTCAAAATCAAATTTGAAATCGGTCCAGGAGCTACAAAACAGACAAGCAGTCAGATCAGAGGCGATCAGTGTAGCGTGGGACAGTTCCCGTTTATTTGTTTCTGTGCATCAACAATGAAATCAATCTGAACAATGAGAAAGAGTTACTTGTGAAGCTGTTGATCCTTTCGGTTTCTCCCACCAGGTCTTTGTTGACCCGCACGGTCACATAGATGAATATACGTGTGGCCGGTGGCAGATCTGTTACTTCCACGCTGCTCTGAGTGGAATTTACAGTTGTATTAAACAGGCTCCTGTCACAAAGAGAAACTGTTACTAAAGCTCATACCCAAAGCTCCACTCTTCTTTTCATCCAGCTGAACATGAAGATCTATTTAGCTGTAATAAGAAGACCTGATGGGACAGTTAACCTCAAAATCAGAAGCTACCTATCACCGCATCATTGTCCAGAAGGAGACATACACCGAACAGTGACCAGTTGGTCCAGTGACCAAATCGTGGTTTTTGGAAATTGCCGTTGAAACTCTTTCACAGGTTTTTTATTTCATCGTGAATTTTGGAGGGAGGGCTTTGAGCACTCAAAGACAGGCGCCGTAAAAACGATTCTCTCAGTCTGCCAAGCGAGTTATATTTTAAAACTTTAAAGGTTTATTTATTTCAATGATTAATTACTGAGGAAAATATAAAAAGTCAATGTATATCAATCAAAAACATGTAATAGAAATACATGGAACATTGACAGGAATTAAAATTTACATTTAAAGTCAACATTTAGGGCATTTTTGCAGCTGATCTCTCAAAAAAAAATAAAAGCTGGGCAACTCAAACAGCAAAGGAATCTAAATGACCAAACAACACA